TGATTTTCTTAATAGAAAATCGATTTTTTCAAGAATCTAAAATTTTATCTAGGAAATAGATTCGATTCTATATTCATATTATCAATAGATAATTCTATTATCCTAAGAAATATTGATTTTTTGAAATCATGATTTTGATTCATTTTTCGAAAAATCTATTTAAATGATTTGCAGGTCCTGATCATCTCAGAATCATTCTATTTTAAAGATTAAGATAATTTCAAGAATTAATTCTTAAGATTGATAAATCGTCATATATTCCAAAGCTTGAATCTCATATTATGAAACGAATCTATCAAAGAATTATTCTATTCTATTTGAAATTCTCAGAGAATTATATAAATCAATATCTATTCCAAATCATAGATTGGGAGATAGATTATATAATAGATAGATAGATTTCAGAATATAATCTAGATCGATAAATGAGAAATTGGCAAATCGATAGAAGGCAGACGATTTAATCGATAAATTGATAGATCGATTGATTGATATATAGATCATCAGATAATGAATATAATAGATCGTCAATTCATCCGAATGATGAGATGAAATAAGGAGAATTTCCAGATAAATATTTTGAATATTTGATCGTCATTCCGATATAACGATATATCTTTAAATATTGAATTAGATTGATAAGATTGATCAAAAGATATCTAGATGGCAATTATTATATAGATAGAGAAAATATAATTATGGGATCAAAGATTTCCGAGATTTTCGGTCGTCGTCCTTTCGGAGAGTTGAAAATTCTAATTATTCTGAATATCCTCATAATCTCGAGATTTCGAATCTCTAGGAAAATCCGCAATATATCTTCTATCATAGAATCGGAAAAGCTAGATCCTCTATGAATGATATAATCTCAGATATTAGCAGATATCATATTATTAAAATATTAGAATTGATCTATTCCGCTGCCTATAGCAGCGGAAAATATTCATTTGAGAATATCTATAACGAGAAATCCGATGAATAAATAATATATAAGATCGCATATGAGATCTGATGAATAGATATAAATTCGCAGGAGATAAAAACGACCAAATCGTAGATTCTGAAAGATTTTAGATCTCTATTTCGGATACGTTCTGCCAAGCCGCCGCGCAGACAACCAAAGAGAGAGAAGTGATTTGAAATCTCGAGAGATCTTTGACCACGCAGAATCGTATGCAGATCTTCTTTCCGTCTCATTTATTTCTTTTAGATTATCTGCACGACAGCTCGGGAGAAGCCATAAATCTTCGAGTCAATCTTCAAATTCTGAAAGGATTTGATTCTCCATCTCGAGATTACATAAGCGCGCAAACAATCAAAAAGAGATAAATCCCGCAGAATATATATGATCATATATGAAATCCGAGAATATTATTCCATTTGCGCAGGCCCCCACATCCGACCCGGTCTTTCTATCTCATTTATCCCTCTTGGAATCGCATAAACCTCTGCAGATAGATATAATTTATCTATCAATTCTGAAAGATTTTAATTCTCCATCTCATATCTATGTCTGCCGAATATTTACGCAGATAATATCAAGAAATAAATCAGATAGATCAAATAAGATCGCTCATGAATATCGATGAATAAGCAATATATAAGATCGTATAAGATAAAAACGATCAAATCATAAATTCTGAAGGATTTTGGATCTCCGTTTCGGCTCTATACGTTCCGCCGAGGTTCCGTCCAAACAATCAAAGAGAGAGAAATGATTCGAAATCTCGGGAGATTTTGGATCGTGCGACCTCAGCATCCACCCCAATTTTTACCATCTCATTTATCTCTCTATGATAATATATTATAGAATTAATTATTCATTTAAATGAAATTCAATCATTTATTATGAAAAATCGATATCTTGATATTTTCTTCTCTATCTATAATCAGATAGATTTTTTTTTATAAATTTCTATTGATATTTTCGAAAAGAATATATAAATATGCGATTTTCATTTCCTAAATATTATACTAAATTGAAAATCATATATTGAATATATTATTGATAAATATTTTGAATCATTATTCGATCAGATAATTTTTTATATCCAAATCGAGATTTCTATATCGCATTTAATTTCTATTCAGAAAGAATAAATACAGACTAATGATCTATTCAAGAAGAAGAATCCAAGATTCCAAGATTTTCAAATTAATATAATGAATAATTAGAATTCATCCGATGCCTACAACAACGGAAAATATCTATTTGAGAATATTCATAACGAGAAATCCGACGAATAATCCATATATGATATCGCATATGAAATCCGATGAAAAACAAGATATACGACCGCTTATAATAGAAATTATCAATCTATAGATTCTGAAAAGTTCTAGATCTCTGTTTCGGATCTTTGCGCTCCTCCGAACCGCCGCGCAGATAATCAAAGAAAATGATTCGAAATCTCGGGAAATTTTTAATCCCACGACCCCGCAATCATCCCAATCTTTCCGCCTTATTTATCTCTCTTAGGCCATCTGCGCGGCAATTCGGAAGAATATATATATCTCCGTAGATTCTTACGACCAATCTATGAATTAGGAAAAATATAGATTCTCCGTCCCGGATCGAGATTTTTGCTCGCACGATCCTTGCCTCTAGAGCGGTCTTCCGCGGGCTTTATCTTTCTTAGACTAATTATATTTTTGCTCAATAGATTAGATCTAAGATAAATATCTTTCAGAATCTATAGATTGATCATTTTTATTATATGCGATATTTTCATATTCATTCCCCAGGCTATATAAGAATATTTATTAATGATTCATCAAATTTCTCATTATGAATATTCTCAAATAAATATTTTCGCGCGATCCTTATCTCCGGAACGATCTTCCGTATTTGAATCTCTCTAGCTAGTTACGATGCTCGTCAATTTTTCATCATACGAAAAATCTCGGAAATTCAAAATCTCTAGTTTTCCAAAAAGATTTTAAATTCTCCAAGATTTTAGAATTAACGAATCAGAAATGCCAAATCGTGTCCACGCCATCTTATTGAGTTTAATATATCAAAATTCTAAGATTTTAGATTCTCTAATTTTTCCAAAAAAGCTTAAATTCGTAGAGATTTCGCCGAAAATCTCGAAAATATTAGAATCTCTAGCTTTTCCGTATGGCTATAAAATCTCCGAAAATTTAGCCCTCCTAAAGATCCCGTACGAATCATTGCGAAAACGAGGCGGGGAAGCCAGATGCTAGCCGAACGAAATATCCGCAAGTAGCCGTACCAGAATATCGAGATTTCATAAATATGTATATATAACAAAATCTATAATTGAAGATTATAAGATTCAAATATTCTAAGATATCCGTAATATATATCTTCAATAAGATTGATATGGCTTTATATATTTTATAATTAGATAGAAATTCATGAATCTAAGAATCTAGGATCCTCCGATTCAACGAAGAAATCAAATATATATATATATGAAACGAATTGAAATACGGTTTTTATTATCATAGAAAATTTTCGACGGATCATTTGTTAATTTAATATTTCTATTTTTCTTTTATTTTCTTGGGAGATATATTTAGGATGAAGATAATGAAATAGAAGGTTTATATTCAAATTTGGATTCTCTGATGTTATTATTCAATATTTGATTTCCAATGAATTTGATATGAATATATTTTTATTTCAAATAGAGATCATCAGTGGTATGTATAATATATTGAGGGTCGTATGACGTTTGTCTGGAGGTCAACGGAATGGAGATCTTGGGGAGAAAAACTATTTTCTCGATTATGATATTCTGAGATGAATTTTTGGGGTCAGTTGTATAAACGTTGGATAGTTTGGGGATGGGAGTCAGGTCTTTTTTGGTCGGAAGGTTAGGCCCCTCGTGATCTGCGAATCAGGTTTGTGATATTCCGAGTATATTGCCGATCCCAACGTGGCCCAGATGAAGGATGTAGATGATGTATTTGTTGCAGACAGATATTTTGTTAGGATTTGTTGCCCAATGGCCTGGCATCGCAACAAGAACCGGGCAAAGGCCTAGTAAACCTGATCGGCTTTAGCTGTCGGGCTTGAGACGCGGGCAAACTGGCAGGATCCAGCCTTTCAGGTCTTCGCTGAGTAGCTCACTCAACGCTATGATGACAGATGACGTTGGAATTGAGGGGCAGAAAAGGGGGAGGCAGACAGCTTGACAAAGAGAGAGAGAGAGAGAGCATGCGAGCGGGAGAGAGAGCAGGCGAGCGAGCCAGCGCGCGTGGGGGGAGGCAAGAACAGTTCAAAGCACAATACCATCTTATAATGTCGGCTGGAAACTCGCACAACTGCAGCACATCGAATGGGTACACCCAGCATCACTGACAGCAGCACGAGCTGTGCGAAAGCTCGTCTTGATCCAAGGGCTCGAGGCTTAGGAATTTAGAGATATACCTTTCTACCTAGGGTTTCTCAGAACCAGAAAGTACCAGCAGGATGGTAGGTAACACACATGCTGCGCTCGTGTGATGCCCACTCAGTGCAAATGGCAGGGCCCTGAATTTTGAGCTCCCGAATCCCATAAGCCCTAGACAAACACCTACATAACATGGACACAGCGGCAGGTTTTCGTTTTTCCCTGCCGCTTGCCTTGGCCGAACCTACTGCGCAGCCACCTGTACACCCGCTGCTGGCGAGGCAAGCTCCCACAGACGCATCAAAGGATTCGACAGATGAAGCCCCGAAATGATCTCACATCCTCCAAAATATAGAGATGGTTTTAAGAGATGGTTTTAAGTACATTGCCGCGTTGTGATGGCATGGTTGTCGTGCAGTTTCCTGGCATCATGTGGGGTCGGTCTAACATGGTCCATGCTGTGGATCCCTCAAGCAGTCTGGGTCTGGATTCTGCAATATATGAAGAATTAGTATGATGCTAGTGGCAGACCTTATGAGACCAACCGACACGGTAGCCGGTGGCCAAAGAAATTGAATCTGATGCTAGTCGGTCGTAGTTATACCAATAACAAGGACACCAAACGTAACCCCTCCGGTATCAAAAGCACTTCCGATGAACTGCAGAAGGGCCATGCTCCAAATACCTGAATGGTGCAACAGCCGCAGGCATTTATGCATAAGCTCTTTCCGCAAAAAAAGGCAATAGTTCCCTTAAACCGCGAGCCACCGGATGTGTATTGTCTGTTTCTTGCGGCAGTATTACAAGTGACAGCATTCCCTGAACAGTTTTTCGGTATCCAGGTCAGAACAGGTCAGAGCCCGAACACAACGCCTGAACTAGAAGCGCTCATGGGCCGTGTAGTTGAGACCCCGTACCCGCTCATGCAAAAGCTGCCAATCTGGCCGAGAAACTCTTCCCTGGTAGTCAGCAACCGATGCAGCTGCGGGTGCGCGCAGACCTCAACACAAGCGGATTTCTCAAAGTCTGATGCTGCAAAAGGTGCTCAGGGACAGTGAAGACGGGGTTGCGAGACACCCCAAACACACGATGACAAGCAAGAGGCCTTGGTTGCGCCCTTCCACGCAGCATCTGGTCCGCTAGCTGTCACTGACAAGTCTCCTGTGACAAGATGTAGATTTCCAAGAGTTGACTCTTTCAGCAGATTTGCGACCAATGGCTCGCCATGATGCAGGCGGCTTGAATTACCCAGCGGTTTGTAGAGGGTTCCTGAGACCCAAAGAAGAGCTACAAAGGGGTTGTACATACGGCTCGCGTGTAAGGGGTCCATCCTCCTGAAGCTCTCGACTGGTGTTCCAGTATCTGGCTGTGTGGATGACGTCACCGATAGCTTTCTCCAATTGAATCTCTACACTCCATACGCTTTAGACCTAGGAAACGTGCTCGCCAGATCCTGCAGAACCCTGATCCCTGTTCTGTAAGTACCAGGATGTTAGCGTATTTGTCACAATCCAGATCAAGTGCTTGTCAAATTGCAGGCTTGCTGTGCGAGGCTGAGCAGGCGGCTGCCAGCGGGCAGCAGTAATAATTAATCCCCTCCCTCGAGTAGTAACACCCACCACGCCCTACCATGAAACATTCCGTCTATGTTGTAGGATACCACGATGCAAATATCTAATATTGAGAGGGTGGGCGGGGGTTTTCATATCAGGTGACGGGATTCATATCCGTGGAGGGTGAGGGGGGACTTAATAAAGTATAATGGTAACGCCCTGTAAGGCCATGTAGGAACCCCAGTTGTCCCCATATTGACCTACCTACTAAATCCCTCTGACCCTCCAAGTAGCTACAGTAGCTACCCAAAACCCTAAACCCAAAAACCTTCAGACCCCCGTCCTGGGAGGCTCATGAGACGGTGAGCCAAGGCTTCAGAGCTCCTCCTCCCTATGAGACGCACGCACCTGGCTCTCAAAATATGGGACCAAGGGTGCTAGAACTATTATTATGGGGACCCCCAACAATGGTACCTATACTTTTAGGAAGCTTCCAAGCTTTGAAGCATGAAGCAAACAATTGTGCTTTCAAATCATGTTAGGAGTCAGGGTTCCGCTTGTGAAAGCACAATAGCAATGTGTAGGAACTATGCCGGGATCGAATGTTTTCAGATTTTCAGGATACTGGATCAGCCCCACTGCTCTTGCGACTCTAGAGTGCAGAGAACCCCTCTCCCTTTTTGGAACCCCCCCTGTCTTGATCGAGAAGGCTGACCCCCGTCACCCCGCCCCCCTTCGAAGTCTTAAGCCCAGATCCGGACCCAACCCCAGACCCACCCCAAACCCTCAACCAACCAACCACAAACCCATCCTAAACCCCAAACCAAGCCCAAACATTCCCCCACCTTCAGCCGTAAGCCCAAACCCTAAACCAAACCCCACACCCTAAACCAATCCTGAACCTGAAGCCCAGATTTCAAACAGTAAACATCCAACCCTGGACCAAGCCCCCACATGTTGCCTCCGCAGACTCCTGTGGGTGTCCACAGGACAAAGGACCAGGGAAGCTTCAATGGCCGCAGAAACCTTACTCGCCTCCTGGCGAAGGGGGAAAGAAAACACAAGGAGAATTTATTACAAGTTTCCTGTCGCTTCTAGGTTTCCCCTCTGGCGAATCCGGCGGTTCCCAACACAAGATGAGTGGTAATAAGCCGTGGCACAAACAAGGAAGGTTGTCAAAGGTTCAGGTACAGAAATGCGCCAGTGCCGGTGTCTACTCAGATACGGAGGTGCACCAGTCACTGCGATTACAAGAAAGGCCCGCTCTCTTTCTTTCTTTTTTCATTCGGGCTCTGAGACGGCCCTGGAAGGCCCGCTCTCTCTCTCTCCTTCTTCTTCTCACAGCTCTACCCCCAAAGGAAGGGCTGAAGCAGTGCTGCAAGCTGGCGCGTCCAAGTCTCGTGGGTCCGACAAGAGATGACCGGAGTACAGGCAAGGCAACAGATGAAGCTCCGCAACAAAAACACGGTACGACATATCTAGCACCAACCCAATGTCGGAGACTCACCCGTTACCTTCCTCCCTAACCCCTTGCAGTGAAACTACACGGCCCCCATGGGGCTCCCCAAGCTGTTGTGCTGCTGGCAGCAGTTCCGGCTGTACTCCCCGATGCCTTGACAGCAATCATTTTTCTTTTTTTCCAGACATCATCTCTCTCGCTCTCTCTCTTTCTTTCATGCGGGCTATGGGGCAGCAGGGAGCTACCATCTCTCTCTGTCTCTGTGTCCGTGCACGCTACATGCGCCCCTTGACCAGCCCATCGGGCTGGGCTGGCCGGAAACGCAAGATGTTCAAGGTAGGTGCGAATCACGTTCAAATGCAAAGGGCGACAGGCAGCAGACGCGCCACAAACTGCGCTACAATGCAGACAGTGCTGAGAATCATTGGGTGGCAGCTAGTGTCATGATGATGGTGATGCATTGACGCGCACAGTTCTAAGAGCGCTCAGTACAGCTTTAATTACCAGGCTTAGGATAAACGCCTTGCAAAGCTTGGCTGGGAAGCTCCCGATGTGCAGTCCAATGAAGAAGGTAAGCATGCTTCTCTTGGATTACGTTACATGCTTCCTGGTTTAGCAGAACCCTTGCTAAATCCACAGCTCCTCGAGATCCATGGCCCGATGTTCCTCTGCACAGATTGCCGGCACCAGGAGGTAGCCCTGCGTCCATAGGTGGCATGCTGGCAGATGCAAGTCTCATCTCGGACTGATTTAGAACCCAGAGTCCAAAGCTCTTCCAAGATGTTAGGGATTCACATGACGCCAATGCCTGGTCTGCCACTCTGCATCCATTGCAACAGTATGGCACTTCTGCGACTTTTTAAAGATGCAAGCTGATTCTATAGGAGGCAACCGCTACATCCGTGCCTCGTACACTGGTGTTACAGAAATGTGCGCAGCACCAACGTCGACGACGATCATCGTCCGTATGGGATTTGTCATCATGAAGTGAATCTGACACGCCGCCACAGCTGCCGGGATGAATCCGATGGCAGGAATGCCTCCAAATGGCATGCAGTCGTGCTTTCGTGCATGCTGCAGATGCGGGTCGCTGGCCTGGCGGTTTACTTCGAATCAGGCACTGACCAGCAGAGTGCACATCAAAATCTACGTTTCCTGCTCCTGCTGCATGCTCTCTAGGATAGACAGACTGTTGATTACGGGCTGCCCGATGTGGTTGCAGGATTGCCGGAACGTCTAAATCGGCTGAAACGGAGGCCTGCCGACATCAAGGATTCGCAAACTTCATTTCGCCAGGCCCGCTTTGAATGCATCGGCTCGATCAGTATCACTGGCTGGTCCCGCACGGAGACTTTCAGACCGGCCTCAAGCAGCATATGAGCTTGGCACACAGCGTGCCAAGCTTGAAGTTTCATCTCCAGAGGTTAAAAAGAAAGAATACAATCGAGCAACGAAAGCTGGCAGCCAATCGCTAGCAGTGGCAGATCCAGGCAAGGGGAGCTCGCGCAGCTCTGGCCAAGCAAGCCCCTGCCCTGCAACATCCACGAGTCCAATGAACGCAGGGCACTCGCCTGTGGTCGACGGGCAAGGGTTGGGACTAAGAGCACATCTTGAAGTTGGCCTATTAACTTGGAAATGCCACGCAGCAATTCCAGCGTGTAAGAAAAACAAAAGCAATGTCTTTGCATGTGTCTGAGCCGTAGTCTGCAATCGGGACGCAGCCATCGACTACGATGACTTGGCGCGCGACTCCCGTGGACTGCTTATCCTGGAGATGGGCATCAAAATTACGACTTCCGTATATCTCCTTCATTATACACCTCAAAAGCATCAAGACGTTCCAAAGTAAAAGACACGAAGCATGGACTGCCCAACGTGTCTTCTGGCAGCGTGGCAACGAATCAGCATTTTCAGATGCAGAAAGTTCCAATACAAAACGACAACGCATCAACTGCCTCCCTACGTGCTCCACGAATGTGTGTTGATGTAACGCAGCACATGGATAAAACAACTGTTCCACCATGCGTTGCCCGCCCCCCCCGACTCCTGATGGGCAGGTAGCAGCTCCACCCAGCCGCGGCAGGTATCCTTTCATTCCAGGCGCCGTGGCGTTTCTTTGAAAATCTGCTCTTAGCACCGGAAACTTGAAAGCTAAAGTACTCCATGACCAAAGGTTATTCTTGTGAGGTCAAGCATATTCAAGATAGGAGGTGCTGAATACTAGGTGGCATCGATTGACCAGTCATTGGGTCCTGGCCGCCGGAGGCCCCACATGCAGAAGCATAGGCGCGCATTGCTTCAAGGCCACCTAAGGCGTTCAACTTTCAGGGCACGGCGCAGTCTCCAAAACGTACATGCCTGAAGACATTGGGATTTATAGATGAACGGATTCCTCCAGAAAGGAGTACCGAACAGTGAGGACTGTAGGACAACCCTATGGACTCTGTGGACGTGACGGGGAAGTAGACGAGAGAGATCGCATGCAACATGCCGACAGTTAAGTGTGGTCAGTTCTCTCGAACGAAACTTACCTCGAAGCCCTGATACTGAGTCGTGATCAGAACACAACGTTGGCGCCACCAAAGCGTGCACATCCAGCCTAGCAAGGTCTAACACAGACTGCCCAGCCTTAGGGATCGCCAGACAACATTTTCAAAGAGAGTGGAAGCACACGTAGGGGGCGTGAGATACTCCAAGTGACGTGTGGAAGCGGGGCAAGAATAGTACCCATGAGCTGAAGGACCAAGTATTTAAAAAAGAGGCTTTGGGGTGGAGCCTTTAGACTACACGTGTATCAGGCATATGAGGGAACGGTGCAAATAAGTTGGGCTTGTCTAGCAGACCAGGCAGTAGATCTGGTCCCAAGTTCAACGCTTGTCAGCTAGCTGTTGCTGAAGATGGACCATGTGCTTCAACTAAGCCTCCCGCCCTCAGGCCGCTCCCACCTATCAAGGACATCACGCTCAAAGCGATCTTGCACAAAGCTGTCCTCAGCCAGAGAATCTCAACAAAGTTGATTGCTTTTTTGTTTGGGGTGGGGACTTCGTTTCGATGCCCGAACACCCTTGAGAAACGCATGTCTGTGTTATGTCGTGCATCCCGGAGGTTTCTTCCTCCGGCAAGATTCCAGAGGCAATTTTTTGCGACGTTGTCCATGACTTGCTACCACAGGGCAAGCTAGCCGGATAAGATCTCAAGGCCCCAACCCACACCTTAAGACCTCTGACCCGACATGTCATCTATCCACAAGTTCGATTTACTCAGGCCTGCTGCGGCCATGCCAAGCCACCAAACCAAGCACAGTTCTTCAACAAACTGGCGCTGACGGGTTTCTCGGAATTAGGTATCCTTACGGAAGTTACGTAGGAAGATTGGGGATACATGGGGATTGTTCGGATATTCCCGGCGTCCCCATACATGTCCAGGGCTGTTCTGAGTGCTCGTGCCGCTACCACCTCCCTCAATGCCTGCCTGGGCTCATAATTCTGCTCTACACGGAAACACCAGCTTCCTTGTAAAGTATCCTTTCCCTACCATGAGTCGAACTAGCCGCCTGCACCCTCAAAACATGAGCCTGTTACATACCTCATATTTAGCCTAGACCTAGCGCTTGCTGAACCGAAAATCCTACCGAGAGGCACGCTTCCGATTGACCTCTACAGCATCTTCGACGCTCAAACGGCTCCAAGAGCGCTCCCGATAGTCCAGCATGGCCTGAAGAATTCGACGGATCCCAAACTGCTATAGGTAAGAATGCCAGGCCCTGACACATTCTGCTTCTGTTGGATGCCTGGATCCATCCCCTTGCTAGTTTAAGGCGAAATTGTCCGGCATTGCAGCAAGTTGCCCTCTGGACCCCTGCTTCTACTCGTGGAAGTACTGAGATTTGGCATTGGGGAAACCACTGGCGTTGACAACTTCCAGCTAAGTCGTGAAAGATCTCCGTGCCGGCAAGGAAGCACCAAAGCCAGAGCCTCTTCCTAGGGGATGCATAGGCCTCCTTTGATGTAACAGTATTATATGGGGGTTATATTGGGATAATGGAAAACAAAATGGAAACTACTATAGTATATTGGGGTTTATTTAGGCATCTTTAGGCCCTGATCTTTTTGACATCCCCGCGCACCTTTCGTAGCAAGCACAGGTCTAGGGAAGCTTCTTTTGGCTATTGGCTTCTCCTTTGTTTCACGGGCCACTAAGCATACAAGAAGGCAATCCCTAACCCCCAATGTTTCCCTCATGACATTTTGCTACAACTCCTGAGTATCTGTCAAAATGCCCTGAAAGGTAAAGCGGCCCTTTCCTCGCTCTCAGCATCATGTCATAGCCGTTCCCCCTTTGCTTTGCCAGAGAAGTTTCAACATTCATCGAGCACCCCTTCCCGAATTTGTCACAAAGAGATTGATACTAAAATCGAAATAATCCTTCTCGGCCGAAGCAACCCGCTCCCAATATTACGTACACATTCCGATTAGGGCAAACTGTTATATTGGGAGTGCAGGCCTGGCAGGGGATTTCTCCACTCCGGAGGTCAAGGATGTCGCGGTCGTACGGATCCTTAGGGAAAGTAGGGCAGAAAGCACGAAGATTTGCCGCAGAAGCTCCCGACTGGCTTGCTTGCCTGAAAGACTTTGTCACAGCCAGGAGGTCTCTCGCGGAAAGCTCATCTATCTATTGCTCCGTTTGCTTGGCCACTGCATGCTACAAGTAACAAGCTCGTTAGCTCCCAAGGGGCTTGGCTTTGCTTTGCGCGGTTTCGCGAAGCTTGCACAGCCCAGGACACCTTTCGAGCTGAGTTTGAAAGAAGGGACCGTGAATCGCTCGAAGTGCAATCCAGGAACTTCACGTGGTGGAGTTGAGATACCCCAAAGTCCTTTCGATTGGAACCCCCAAAGCTGCCTCACGGGATGAATGGCTTAGGAATGGCAATGTTCAAGAGACAAGAATTATCAAGCAACATGTTGTTCCAGTTCCAAAATGAAATAGCAATCTACATAGCAGTTTAACTCGGCTCACTTCCCGGCCTCACGAAGGTCATCGAGGTATTGCCGCACAAAGTCCTGACCAGTTTGAGGCTTCAGAAAGTGGCTCGTGGATCAGTGAAGACATGCTTGTTGTCTTCATGGCTTTCATGGAAGTGTCAGGAGGCCTATTGACATCTGACTCAAACAATGCAAGTCCTACACAGCATCAGCCATGCCAACCTTGTACATTCAACCCTTCTACCAAGACACTCCCGCTTCCTGCCATCGTGTGTACGAAGCAGGGCAACATAGTTTAGGGCTGCACTGCCTATGTGTCATCCCTCGGGACCTCTCAGGCTGATACCGACGATTTGCCAGTGCCATCTTAACTAATGCCAGAAAAACGTGTGTCAAGGGGCCTCATCTTCAAACATAAACGGAGACTCTACACCATAGTTGCTAGTCTAGCGCCCTCTCCCCAGCGATTCTTGCACGAAGAGCAACCATGCCTTTCGCTCCGTGCCCTGTCGAACCTATTGGATGCAAGCGAGGACTCTGCGCGCACTTAATTGGGCTTCCCCAGGTTTATTTATATAGTGATGCACATTAATAATGGAAAAGAAGATGGAAACTACAATTTGGGGTTTAGAGATTCCTGATGAATTTGGTAGCGAGCCCGAGTAGCTTTTTTGACCGTCATGATCAGCACATTGACTGCTATGGCCGATCATGCCCTCTGTGTTGCCGGAACAACTACTCCGCAGTACAACTGCTTCCAAATGCAGATGCTTTTGTAAATCATTGCTTAGGACATCAGAATTTGAGCGCCCATGGGGGTAACTGGCGGGTCATGATTCAGTTGAGCAATACCGTGAGCCCTGAAACCAATTCCTAAAGGACTAAACTCACAGTGAATCGCTCGAGAGCATTGAGCATCTAGCAAGAATAGCGACTACCAGATATCCCCTGAGGATGCCAGCGTTGAGTTAATGTGGTATGAGCTAAGCTATGTGCCGGAACCAGTCCTCGGACTGGAAACTTTCCAGCCATTTCTTCGTCTCCGTGGTGCACTCTGCTTCTGCCAAAGCCTCGTGTCAGGCCATTTCCAGCTAGTATGGTCTGGAACTTTTCGGAGAACAAGCAAACTGTGCACCTATATCCTGAACATCCGATATCTCGCTGTAGACTGTCATGGTCTGATGACATGCTCGCGGCTTTGTTTTCAAGAGCTTCCAGTTCTGTATTGCTCCTGATGGAGGGCATTAGCCGAACCTCCAACTGCAAGCCCAGGTGCTACACTTCCTGGGAAAGGGAAGAAGCCATTGGCAGCCGCCGTACACTCCTGGGTTGCTGTTCAGGAACCGAAATTAAGTTACCTTTACAAAGGAAACGCTATGATCTACCATAGGCCCATAATATGTTAACCTACTTTAAGCTCCTTCTTAAGTACTCTATATACCCAGAATATGGTATAGTCCTCCTTAAGTAGATAGAATATGGCTTTGAGCATATTATGATAGGATCCCCATCTTCCCCATATTCTATCTACTTAAGGGGGACGATAACTTAACTTAAGTTCCTTAGCAGCAACCCAGACTCCTTCACCAGCTTTTCACCTGTCAAACCAGGCTGATGAAGTGCTGGATCGGCATGGTAATAGTCCTCACCTTCTGGCCTGGGGCTACTTCCCAAAATTTGGAGGTTGGAGGTTATCTTTTTAGGGGGAATACAAGGGTCATATAGGGGTATTTACGGATATATAGGGCTTAGGGTGTCCTTTAAAGGGACCATAGGGGCTGTATATTTAGATCGGGTTGCGGCTTATGGCTTTCCAAAATTAGGGGGTACCTTTTTGGGGTCCCCAAAATGGGGACTATAGCATTTTTGGTGTCTATATTGGGGTTTTGGCAATGGCTTCAAGGAACTATTGGAGTCACGACCTAGTGAATACCTGCGATGGCGTGCAGATTTCAGCTTTGTTGCCTGCGGCAGCGCCCTCCCCAGGCTTCCCTTTCATGCCTGCAGATCAAAACCCGGAAGCCTCAACTTCAGCCAGAAACCCAATCTCAAGCCACAAGCCGCACCACAATAGAACACATACAAGACTGGAGGCCGATCGGTGCTTAAGTCACTTGCTCTTTCCTGCCGGTTGAGGGGTTGAAGCCATCCGTTTCTCCTCTTCATCCTGGTGCTCCATATGCTTTCTCTCGCTCTGACCCTGTGCGTTCTCCAGTTTTCTGTCTCTCCTTTTTCCAGTCTCTCTCTCTCGCTCTCTTGTTGTGATCCCTGTAGGTCACGAAGGGCGCGTCCAACAGAATAAGATAGCGCCCTGTCGCGAAGCGTGACATTAGGAAAGACGCTGCAGTGCGATTCTCTGTTGCCCTGCCTGCCAGTCTCGTGAGACATGGGAGGCTTCGCAATGTAAATGTCGCTACGGCAGGATCAAGAGGCTACAGCAGCAACGACTGCTTCTGCTGCCAAGGGAGGTTTCGCGGCACGAGAGAGAATAAATCAAAATCACCAAGGCGGGCAAGGCCTTGTGAGTTTAGTTGTTCTTATCACTGTTGTTATTGTTCTTATTGTAATTGATTGTCAGTATCATTATTCAGGAGAGCAAATACTGGCAAGTTGGGTAGCCGGGAAGGCCACCTGACCTTCACGAACCTACACAAGGGGGAATAGGATTGATGAAAAGCTGTGTGGAGGTAATTGCCTTGAGACGCAGGAGCTTGCACAAAAGGGTGTAGCAATAGCAACAGGAATACTAACAGTAGCAATATTTATACCAATAATGACAGCAATGCGAAAACCCGGCACCCACCCCGCGCACCACAAACCCAAAGGGGTTGCCCATTGACAGCAAAGTTCTGCATACACCAGCTTGAAGCGCTTTGGTAGGGAATATGGGAATGCATAATATGGGGACTATATGGGGATTGTGTTCCCTTACTCCCTACTAACCACCAGTAAGCCAGGTGGTGAAATCTCAAACAACTCAGAGAGACGAGCCACACCGCACCGCGGTTGCGCAGGTAATCCATTACAATCTCCTTGACATTTGTGGCTCCAATAATCAGCAAGATCTCCTGGTCTGTTTCGACCTGCGCTCAGGATTTCACAGCTGCCAGGCCACCGCAGCATGACTTGCCAACCCAAACTCACAGAAATGTCGTAAACCTTGTCCAGGCAGGCTAACAGATTGCTCTGCTTCTTATTGCGCAAACTTGCAGGCCAACATCATGACACTCTCAGAAGATCAGCTCAACATTCGCGGGCAGCCCTATTTGCATAGGGCTACTTTTGTCAAGTCTGGCTGGGAAATTGACCCATGTAAGCTGTCATAATTCTACTGGTTTTTAAGGGGGAGTGGGGGGGTGAATACAGGTGCCATTCTGGGGTATGTACTATGAGGATTGTACAGTGATTAGTACCACACGATAAGCTGCTAATCTCAAAGAAGTCATCGTTGAATCGTTTGCTCCACCCCCAATGCCAACCCCGTGGATGCCTCGCTGAAGTTAGGCAGCTCTTGTCCATCCAGGACCAATCGCTGGTCATACCTTGGCACGGTGGATTTTCAAGAGATTCTGGCCAATCTTAGACTGGGGTGACATGCAGCAGCTCACGAAAAAAGATAGGCATTCCAGAGAATTTGGGGATATGCAGGGGTTTTATATTTGCTCACCAAAAAGGACCCCCCCCCTCATCTATGTACAACTGGCATCCACCATTGCCTGGAAATTGCCGCCAGTAAATTGGCCCAAAGATTTTAACACAAAAGCTAAGTTGACTGGCATGGAGCTCATGGCCCCGTCCAAGAACAGTGCTCCGGCCCTTCATGTTCCCCTGGAAAGATACCGTACTTCAAATATGGCTGCGCTGAATTGCGTATGTAGATACGCAGCAAAAAGGCTCAAACGAGGTTTGATTGTGGCTTCTTTTCATTTTTGCGGGGGTTGTTTGCGCACGTGTTTTCTTACATGCGAGATAGATGCTCAAGCTCCATGCCACAGCTGTGGCAACAGATGCAAGTTGACTTCTTCCAAGCCACACGTTGATGCCTTTGGCATCTTTGATGGCCATCTTGACCTCCTTTGCGAGCGGCTTCCCATGCGGTAGCTCCACCTCAGCTTCCTACGGGGTATCAGGGCAGGAGCACAGAATGGTAACTAGTAACTCTGATGGCAACAAGTGTACTATACTTATACTCTAGCCCTTCATTCGGCAGCCTCCAATCAGGTGATGACTGGCAACAAAACGCTCAAAGCATAGCAAGGACTCCACATGCAAGAAACTAACGTTGAGGATCTCTGAGAATGAATTTCGTACTGTTCTTCGTAGAGAATATGGGAATGGGGTATATCGGGATTATATTGTAGGGGTTATGTCATATAGGGACGACATTCCAAGTATTCCAATGTATCCCCTACTAAGAAGAACCAGTAAGATTTATTGGTAACGTTGTCTTGGCTGTTTTAAGATTATCGAGAAGTAGCATGCTGTGAACAAGGCTGGTAACTATGGAGCCACCATGCGCTGAGGGACTTGTCCCGCAACCAATTGCTGCTTATGTGGGGTCGTAACTGTTTCCATAGGGACTATATAGCGACTCTATATGGGTAGATAGGATTATTGTACAGAATTTAACGTTTAGAAACGGCCCACCCGGCCTGGAAGCCCACACCACTCATCAGACGGATGGCAAAGGTTGTCGCCATGACGTCAAGGCAGCGGGACCAACGCCAGTTTAAGGGGTGAAAGGGTTATATAAGTGCTAGGACTATGGGGACAATTCTGCGGTTGAGGTTTTAAGGAGTCAAGGTCAATAGGGCCCATTAAAAGGGATCGTAGAGGGGATTTGTAGGGTTATGGAAGGGAAGGGTTGGAGAATCAAAGAGATCTTTTTCTAGACCTGACCCATATCAAGCAAATTGCCTGTCACATTGCTGCGTCAGGAGAGTGCTTGCTCAGACCACCTCTACTAGGCCTGATTACATTCTGTTCTTGCTGACTGTGACATGACTACAGCTATACCATGACTGACGGCTTCCATACCGTCCGCCATGCAGAAGTAAGAAGTACTCACTTTGCTGCTGAGATAGGTCAGCGTCGTGGCAGTAGGTGCTTGCTTGGGAAATGTACGCTATTGCCATAATTGGCGACATGCTCGATATCTCAACCAATGTCCTGACCATCACTCGCGCTGCTTTCCATGGAAGTTCATTCGCGCGTCGTTTAGGGCTGGCAACTAGACCTTACACATTTGCATGGCAAACTCTCTCAGAAGGGCTACACGAGATAAGGTGCAGCCTGTTGTCTCTGATCATGTATTGTGCAGCTGAGAGAGAGAGAGTATCAGCCTTCATTCCGGTTGAAAGGTGTCCCCGAACTTTTTGATCGGTGGTTGAATTATCAAACGCCAACTAGCGTCGCCACTCAGAAAATGCATCCCCTTGCCATTTCTGTAGCGCGGGATCGATGTTTCCTGGCATGACGCTGTACGAGATTTGGCACATGCGGCCTTCAGAGACCTGAAACTAACTTGCCAAGTCTCGAATCTTGATGGGCCTCTGTGGCGCAGAAGCTTTCACCACCTGACGGAAGCAGCCAATCACAAAAAGAGTCGTCGAGCTGCTAGCTGCAGATGAATTTCGATCCCATGGTTTGCCCCCAATGCAGAGTCACAGTGCCCTTTGTTTTGACCAGCAACCTGGTATCCACACGCCAAAGATGCGCTTTCCGTTCCGTAGCTCCCACCACCAGATGGAGCTCCCACATAGTCCAGGTAAGCACCCTGCAGTTGTGAAGCATGGGACGTCCCAGCATGATGTGATGACAAAGCTTGGAAAAATGCCTTTTGCAGTCAAGCAGGTCTGTTCCAAAACCCCACAGAAGAAAGAGAGCAGTTTTAGTTTGGGCGGATACAGGAGTAGGCTCTTGACAAATGGCTTATCCGGGTGGGCACCTGGTTGAGCAGTCTTTATACCTGAAGGCTCACGGGTACTTCTTCGCGCGCGGGAAAAAGTCATAAGTCCCTCATCAGAGTCGCAAGTATCCAACTTTGAAGCCAACGTGTAGTTATGCAGGAATGTATGACACCTTGTCCAACGATGCCAGGTCCCGCCTGGCTGCCCAGGCCATCTCCAAAAGAAGGAAGTGCCACCTGATCTACACATCCTGCTGCTTGCTGGAGTTCAAACAATGTGGGTCCTTATTAGTGTGGCCCCCCCCAAACAAATATGGGTCCCTATTTAGTGTAGGCCCCCCCCCAAACGAATCTGGATCCTAAGTTTAATTAAAATTCAATAGGCGGGATTGGATCCTAGATCGTAGGTTTCAATCAAAATAGAATAGGAAGGGTTGGATT